TTTAATTTAAGAAACCGATTCTTAAAACTTAAATATAGATTCTGGAATTTTACAAAAAATAATATATTTAATCGGTTTACAATTTAATCGCTTTCGTAACTCCATATTTTCGATGCCAAGTGGGGAACTATTTCTTAAAAAATGTATATAATTATGGCAAGAAAATCTACGACACAGTCTGTCTATATTTGGAAAATAAAAAAAAATACATCGATAGATAAAAAGCAATCCCAGTGCAAACAAATTAAGTAATTAGCAACTTTCAGATCATCTCTGAAGAAATGCTTCCATTAAACGATGTGCGAGCTCGACTTCAATTTGAAATTTTTTATCCGCACAGACGAGCTGATTGGCCCACTGTGCATTGGCAACTACAGGAGCCCCACCTGATTTGTAACGCGTGCAGTGCCCGCAGCGCCGCATGCCTATCGGTGCAAACAATCTCCACAATTCGTATGTCTCCCCCCCTTCAAAACCCCCCTCCGATTCACTTATCAGTTACATACGGTGGCGACATGCGCGTCAATCAGATCGTCAGGTGGATGTGGAATTTGTAGCGGCTCTCAACGGTCTCAACAAATTTGTCCCGCTTTTAACGAGCGCTTATCGTGTTTTCAATTGCCATATAAAGAACAAAACAATATGAAAATCATAATTTTGCTTAAATACGAGCAATTTCACTTTGAAACGCGGCAGGTGGAAATTAATTCACAAAAATTTTAAGCGACTTCACATGTTTGCTTTAATCACAGATTTTTTTTTCCTTTTTTGTTTTTGTTTAATTTTTGTTTACTTGCCGGGCGAGACAGTCTGAGCTTTTTATTTACTCATGGGGCTTGTGTAATTCACGGATTGTCGCCGTAATCGTGAATGTTGCTGTCGGTGCTGCTGTTGTTGTTGCTGTTCCTCCGCATTTAACAAATTATGTCAATAATAAAATTGAAATATTGCCGTTTGAATTCAAATTGACAAATTGCTTGAAGCGCACCATTTTCATTTACGTTTTCATAAAACCAGAAACCCTACGATCGAGCTGTCGCTTTGTGGCTTTTGTTGTTGTCGTCTCAGCTCATTAATACCCGTGTTTTTTTTTTATTATTCATTTCTCTCCTTCGTTTTGGCGCGTGCTGTGGTCGTCCATTGATATGACTTGCTAATCGTGCCAACATTTGTACGCACACTGGCTTTGGGGAGCTGAAATTAACAAGTGGGGCGTACTTCGCAGTTGTTGTTGTATTACGTTTTATAATGTGGCACCACCTATGGGCAACATTTTGGGGAACAGACTACGCATTACCATACATAGTTTATAATACTTGCTTAGGGAAACAAACCTCAATGCGATAGAAAATTGATTTACGATTTACAAACGATTCGAAAACCTTTGAAAGACACTCTGAATATTGTGAATATCTTAACTTAATGTAAAACGTATTTTAACAAGTTTTCCTTAAGCTTTAAATTGATTGCTAAGTAGAAGCTTTTTGACTATTTTCATTGGTTTAGTGTATAAATATATACATATATTATAATTTCTATAATGCACAGGTACGTTTTAATTGTTTAAAACTCTTTATAAATTTAGTTATATTATATAATCCTTTTTTGAATAGGAGTCTGATTTTAGGTATAGTTTTATATCATGTAATCGAATGATAAAAGGGTATCCTGGAAAGTCTCAAAACTCCCGAAAATTGTGTGTCCCTTGTACGTCCGTATGAACACCTTTAACTTTTTAACCATACCCAGATCTGGATAGTAAATATAATTTAGCTCCTCACCATAATCTGAAATTTTATTAAAATCGCGTAACTGTATTATACAAGTATCTTCCATAGGAATAATTGGTACAATGAAGTTAATTTAAGTTGCACTTAATTAGTATGATTATAGTATAGCAAATATAATATAGTTGCTCACCATAATCTGAAATTTTATCAAAATCGCTGAACTGTATTATATAGCTACCATTGGAATGATTGGAACGGTGAACTTAATTTAAGTGGAACTTCTTTAGATAGGCGCAGGGTATTCAGAAGCCGGGCTGGCACCTTTTAAAATGCATAGCCTTTCGGTAATAATATTAGAGGATAATAAATGTTGGATTTCTTCAAGCTAAGTAATAGATAATGCCAACATGAATAATTTGTTTATGCAATAGTAAAAGGAATTTTAAAAAATACTCTTCGTTCAAAAAACAATTTTTGTTGGGTTTTAATTGCTTCTCAAAGCGTTCATTAATTTTCGTCTCCAATAAACTGGCCATAAAAAGTGTGGTAAGAAAATTAAAAAAAAATAACTGTCGAACTGTTGGTGATAATGGCACTTAGTCCAACTTCATGTAAATCTTCATGTCTGCAACAGAGTCTCTGCAACAATGTAGAAACAATTCAGGAACTATTGCTTGGCCATAACTGCTGCCTTCTCGTACGTGAGAAGTCAAAATAATCATTAAAGAATGCGCATAATGTAAAGTGCAAATATAGATCTGCCCATAAGGAGACTTCAATGCAATTGCGCATGCGCGCTGCATTTCAAAATAAAACAAGAGAGAACGCTACAGTCGAGCAAGCCCGACAGTGAAATACCCTGTACCCAGCTAAACTTCCGGCACTGAGGTACTTGTATATGCGCCTCTAGCAGAAGCAAAAGGAAGAAGAAGAGCGAACTTGATGCTGCAGCTTGTGGGCGTAGTACCGAAGTAAAATTGTTTCGCTAATAACTTTTCTTACAACTAACCGATTTAGATACAATTTTAAACAAAGGTAGATAATTGTATAGATTATTTGTTAAAGTGCAAAGTTTGGTTAGGGTAGCTTTTGAAATGTGGACGGTATTGACGAAATTCTGTGGCGGGGAAAGGGGGGGGGGGGGGGGGAATTGCAAAAAATGAAATAAATCTGGATACCAACTTTGGTTATTCTAGCTTTTATAGTTTCTGAGATCCTTGCGTTCATCCAGACGGACGGACAGACGGACGGACATGTCTAGATTGATTTTTCTCGTCATGCTGATTCAGAATATACAATATATACGTTATGGGGTCGGAGATGCTTCCTTCTGCATGTTACATACATTGCACAAACCTAATATACCCTTTTTACCCTACGGGTACAGGGTATAAAAATATCTGCAAAGTGCAGTCGTTTGTATTACCATAGCAAACATAAAGAGCTGGAGCGTCGTCAAGAAACCCACATAGTACTAGTCATAGTCTCAGCTCGAGCAACGACCTACATCAACGGCAGAAAGAGTCATAAATGCGGCGGCTGCAATGGCAACAACAGAGCAGAGCATTATAGACCGGAAAATGGCGAAGAACAGTCTGCAGCCACACATCAGCCTGCCTGCCTGACTGCCTGCCTGCCTGACTGCCTGCCTGCCTGACCTACTCCAATGGGCACGTTCAGGCTGGCACTCCTCAGTTCCATCATTATGGGCGCTCATTGCGAGCCAAGTAAACACTCGTAATGGCAAGTAAACAAGTGAAGAAATGAACAATACAAACCTAGCAAACAATTCCAAGGTTTCCTCATTAGCAGTGCCATTGGCAGGCAGTCGAATGCTTTTAGCGCTCAGTGTGGCTTCGAGAGAGAAGAGAAGAGAAGAGAAGAGAGAAATACGAGCGCACTTAGCGTAAGCGTCGCACACATACAAGCATGCTACAAACATAAATAACGACAACACCACGCTGCTTGCTGCTGATAAGAAATTCAATATCAATGCAAAAAGCGAAAAAAAGAGACAAAACAAAATATTGTGGTGGGTTCTCGGATCGAACCACCACCAAGCCCCAATCTTCAGCAACCACCGGCCACGATCGACGTCGGCATTACTGCCGCCGGGTCGCCAGCAGCGATCGGTCGCTGCGAACAAAACTCCAGCGCTGCCGCATCGATCGGCATAGACAGCGACCAGCACGCGACCGAAACGGTTCCGAAACGAAACAAACCCGCTTCACTCACTCGCTCATTCAATCCAATCCAATCCGACTGACACTGACTGACTGACTGACTGACTGACTGACAATCGTTGCTGGCGATTGAAGCAACAGCTAATTTATCTGATTCGCCATCCACGAAAATGCCGCCACAGTTGCACGTGAATTCGTCTCGAGTGCCGCCTTTGAACTCCGAACATGCGGAAAATCGTGCTGGGAAATACGAGTAACTTGCGCTTTTTCGTGTACGAGTTCGTTTCGCTTCGTTTTTTCGTTTTTTGTGAAAGCAAGGCGCATTCAAAAGATCTACGAAAACAAACTAAATGCGCAATTTGGTGGCCAAAAAATAAAAGTGAATGAGCGACGAATTTTTGCTGTTATTTGTTGTTATTTCGCGAAATTACTTTTAAAACGCGTGGCGACAAGTGTTGTGATTTGACGCTGATAGCCGGTGCTTAGTTTTTGTGTGCCAGCTGCAAATAAATCTTCCGAAAAAAAACTCATAACCAAGCTATTAATTTACGGAGAATCCAAGCGGAAAAAAAATATAAAATGTAAATCGTCGGTACTACATGCAAATAAACACTGTCGCATAAGCCAAATATAAATATTTACACACAACATGTGTAAAAAGCGTGAGCTGCACAATTCAAATGAAATATGCAAACAAAGCTCTTAATTTGCAAACAGCAACAGCAGCGTTTATTTACAACAACAACAATAACAACAACAAGACAAAAGAGACATAACAATAAACTGCAAGCTGCGCACTTTTCGCAGTCAAACCAAGTTGAAGAAAATTCTTTAAAACTGTGCCATTAATCCAACAGCAAAGGTCACTGATGAGGATGTCTGGCAGCATCCGAAATAGCGCTATCTGGCCAGCCAACAATTGCAAAAATTTATGAGAGACTTCTGAATGACAAACAATCAACAATATAAGCTATAAAATAACTATAAAAATACCAAGCTATAATTTATAAGAAAAGCCCGCAAGCCTGCTGAATAATAAAATAAAACAAAAAAAAAAAAAAAAAAAAAAATTAATTTAAAAACAAAGTTAAACGTGGTCTGCTAAATTAAATAAAATAAAAAATTGTCAATTCAATTAATAAATAAAATCGGCTAATCAGAGCAACACATACTTATAAAAATCCCTTGCTTGCAAAATCAATTTGTTTAAGCGAGCTTCCCAACAACATTTGATGACCCTCAGAGCCATACTGGTCGACTACTACTTCTATTTGCTATCCATGATGCGCAGTTTTAAGCGCGGCTTCTTCTGCTCGGATCTGTCCCTGCGCTATCCTTACCATGAGTGCACCATTACGGTGCCGATGCTGCTGGTCATGATGCTCCTCCTCCCCATGCTCTTCGTCTGCATTGTGGAGATAATGCGTGTCTGCAAGAACTTCCGCATGCGCCAGTACTTGTGGAATCTGTGGAGGAGTGAGGCGATCTTCAGTTTCGGCTTCATCGCCACCTATCTGACCACGGAGCTGGCCAAGCAAGTGGTGAGTCGGTTGCGTCCACACTTCTACACGGCCTGTCTGCCGCGGCTGCACGATGGCAGCAGCTGCGCCGATGTGGAGAACGCCGACGTCTATGTGGAGCACTTCTATTGCAGCAATCGGAATCTGTCGACGCGCCAGCTGCGCGAACTGCACGTCTCCTTTCCCAGTGCGCACAGCAGCCTGAGCTTCTACTCCATGTGCCTGCTGGCCTTCTATCTGCACAGTGTGTGGCAAGGGCGCGGGGGAGTGCGGGTGTTGCGGCACATTCTGCAATTCGGTCTGCTGATGGCGGCCTGGTATATATCGCTGAGTCGCGTCGCCGATTATTGGCACCACTGGTCCGATGTGTTGGCCGGCGCCATCTTGGGCGTCGTCTATGCGCTGATCACGGCCATCTATGTGGGCGATCTGTTGCGTGCGCGGCCCAGCCTAGTGAGTCCGGCTGCTTTCGGGTACGTGTGCGCGCCCACCAACAGTCCCGACCACCATCATCACCATCACCATCACCATGGGCAGTATCACCAGCACCATCAGCTCTTGGCCGAGAATAATAATTCGACCATGTCCACCACAAAGGTGCAATTTCTGTCCGCCACCTCGACCGATTCGGTGGCGGCGGACTGCGATTTTAGGCCACCGACGACGCCCACGTCCCGAGCACCGACACCACCGCCTATTACGCTGGGCTTGCCAAATACCGTCTAAGCTGACAGCCGACGGTGGCTTATCGCTGCGATGCCGGTCCGCCTCCATCTAGCGGCATTGTGCAGCTATTTCAACAATTTTTTCATTAGAAATCGAAATGTAAAGAAACTTGTGATAAGCGCGCGGCGCACTCTTTACCTGCTTTCCACTATACTTACCTCTTCCCCTAATAGGCGTATTGCTGCAGCGTTCGTTTTATAATTGTGCTTGCGAGATTTAGGAAAACCAAGCAGTATTGTGTAACTGCCTGGAAATGCCTAATCTGGCAGCACAATGGGGCAGATCAAGAAACTTCCTATTTAATAATAAATCCGCACTATTTCCTCTATCTTAAAATTTTCACCACACACTAAAAGGAGTACAATTTTCTTAGTCTTTCAAATAACTGTTAAATAACTATTTAAAAACTAATTATATTTTGTTCTTCATCACAGATCGGAAAATATATATTGTTTATTAAATATTTATTCTGACAAATATAAATACATTCAAAAAACCATATCATTGCAAGCTTTATTATTCTAAATACACTTTCATAGTTATCCAATACCGATTTTCGACATTAATTGGATTTGTTTCTGATATCTAACTTGACTGAAAATCCTTGTTCAAATACCGCTGAAGTCTTAAGACGGGATAAGTTCACTATTGGAGCACTTTCGAAAAATTATGTAATTTGATTATTTGAACAAATATACTAACAGCTGTTCTGCAACCGTTAATTAATTAAAATCAATAAGTTAACATAGTATTATATGGTTTAAATAGCTAAGTAATAATAATAATAATTAGCAGTTCAAAACATAATTATCGGTTCTCTAAAAAATTTGATGACCAAAATAAACATTAAAATTCTGAAAAACATTTAACTGTAGAACATAATTATTCGTAGCACTAACTATCATAGACTTATATAATAATAATAATATGAAACCATTTTTAATAAAGTATTTATTTATTTTGCTGGCATGTGTCTTTAATTTTGTATGCAAATTATAAGCGAAGCTTGCGACAGGAAAAGGAGGTTGAACAGACGTCTTAAGACAGCTATAAGAGTTTTGATGCTATAACAAAAATCTTAGATAAGGCTAAACTTTCTATAGTAAGTCTTGGCAATAAATATGACTGTCACATAAATATATTGAAGAGTCGGCACTTCAGTAAAAAAATATTATAAACTAAACTAAAGAAATCACTAAAGAAGCCTTTGCTTGTATAGAACTAAAGCACGGGGAAAATTTAAATAATACGAATTTTCATATTAACTTTTTAACTCTTCAAAACTGTCTATATTGTTTGGTTGAAATGAAGGCAGTTTTATTAATTACAACTCTTCATATATTTGTCAACAATTCTCGATTTTCTTGCGACTGTGCGAAGCCGGCATTTATTGTCGCTGATATGTGCCGTTAGACTTGCTGGGGTATCGTAGACTTCTACTTCGTCTGCAACTTGTTTGTTTATAAACAATGCCGCAGCAGCGCCGCAGTCTCTTTGAAGTGCTGGCCACTGGATAGTGGACAGTAGACAGTGGACAGAGGACAGAGGACCGGGGACAGTGGGCAGCTCGCCAACGTGCTTCCAAATCAGCTTAAGGAATCTGCGGGCCAAAGCAGTGGCGCTCGCTGCTCGCCGCCTCAGACAGTTTTAAGTTCTTTGCGACAGCTGTCGATAACGAATTATAAATAATATACACAAAAAAAAAAAAAAAAAACAAAAAAAAAAAAACGAGAACTACTTGGCCGCAACCCGCATATAAAACATTTATTTGTGACACTTGGTGTGTAAACCCAAAGATTTATGAATAAATTAATTTATTAAGCGTTTATTATTTGTGTGCGTTAATTATGTTTAGTCTCTCAGATTCTGTTTGTTTCAGCTTCATTTAGCTTGTGTGCCTAAACGATGGCACACAAATATATTTATTCCTCGATTGATTTATGCTTTCGTTGGTTTTATGATAATTTCTTTTTAACACTTCAATAAACAATTTATAAAGCGAGAGCATTTTAAATGGAGATTAGGCCGTACTATTAATGTTTGAGTTTATTAATTTCCATTTTAAAAAGTGAAGGTCGTTTTAAAATATTTTATAAAAAAGTTTCTTTAATTGCGAAATATGAGCAAAAATTTAAAATGTATATGAGAGAGGTTGTAGCTTGAAAAAAAAACAAACTTTCTCCAGTTCTTTTTGAAGTTTATTTCATGAAATTAATGCAATTGCAATTATTTAAGCAAGCAGAATTTTTAATATCGCCTTTTATCTCTAAGCTTTCTCGCTATTTAAACTCTCTGTTCTTAAAATGTTGTCTTTTGGATTACACAAAGATCTTAACTATTTCCCGCTCGGTGCATCTCGATATTTTTCAAGAATTACAAAAATATATATATTATAGTTTGTTGTCTTCTACTATCATTTAGTTATTACCCTGACATAAAAAAATGGAATTTAAAACCAACAGTTATCAAGACAGGCAGAAAAATTTGAAATATTTCCGCATATCTCCAATTCCTAAGAAACCAAACACTTATCTGGCGTCTTGTGGCTTCTATTGTTTTTTTAACATATACAAGTATGTATGCACCCACAAAAAAAAAGTATATAAAAAAGAACTCGCAAAGGAACGCTTTAAGATAAGACAACAGCAGATATTGCTGATAGTCCCTGTCGATAAAAGCAAATATGTAATTGCCTTCATAATGTTGTCGGTACACAAGCACAATATTATTCTATGTACATACATACAAGTTTGTTTTTATGTGCCTGCCTTCGTATCTAATCGCTTCATAGGCAGCAAGTTAAAGGTACTTATAAACTAAGTATAGTCAACGCCAGCTAAAACATGCATCTACACGAGATAGCAGGTGTAATTACTATTTCATAATGTCAATGCCTGATTCGCCCAGGTTTTCTACAAACATGTCTCCCCCTTCCAACATACGAGTATATACATCGTACATACTATAAGTAGTAATATTTCTTTGTTGCTGCAGTTACAAAAAAAAAAAAAGCCCTAGAAAACGTGAATTTATTTGCAATCGAGTGCACATAATATTTCGCACCTGATAACCGTATTTTAACAACAACGTGAGTTTGTGTTGGTATTCGATTAATTTAATTAAACGGCGCCAATAAACTTCAAGCCCACTGCGTCATCTAATGATAATAAAAATGAAACCATTATTCGGGTATTCACACAGATTCTGTTGGCCGCCTCTGTGCGACCCCAGCGATTATCAACAAATTTATTTTAAATAATTCATTTTTTGTTTCGATACAGTATCATTGCTTGAATTCTTTCATCTACTTTACAAATTTATCAATCTATAATGATAAGTGAATCTATAATACTTGCTAATCACAAAATACTTATGATGCATCGTTTGCGTTACTCATTTATGTGATTTGTTCGAACGGCTTCCTAGACCGGATATATAATTTAAGTCGCCGGTGATTGCAGTATTTTTTGGCCACTCACCTTATCTTTAATTTCAAAAATGAAATTTTTTCTGCAGAACTCATGCAGCACTTAATCATAGGAATCTAGAGATTGTGAAATGATTTTTTCCTTCGAATGCATTTCAGTGACATTTTCGAGAGCTATATTCAAAGCTATATTCAAAGTACATTAATTGGGCATTCAGTCAGAATTTGTCGACTACAATTCAATAATGTGGCTTGTAATTATTCAAGTAATAATTTATAATTATTCAAAAATAATAGACATTAAGAGACGCGAGTCGGAGGCTAGTGAGGCCTACGAATACAGAGCAACAAAGCAAAAACACAGCAAGCCATAAAGAAGACATAAAGCAGATGAGAAAATCCAATGTTAACAAATCCAATGTTAACAAATCCAATATGAACAAAGGACAATTCGAATAAACATGCAATTTTCTTTATTAGAATTCGGTATGGAATGTAGGACTGATGATGCCTCTGACTAATTCTAGATAAAACAAGAGAGAACGCTACAGTCGAGCAAGGCCGACAGTAAAATAGCCTGCACTCTCCACAAAAAGGGAAAATTAAAAAAAAACATTAAATTATTAAAAAAAATTGAATTAATTAAATTAATAAAGAAAATTTATTTAATACATACATAGAAGACATGTTTATTATTAACAGTTTTAACAGCATACATTTACATCATCGTGTCTATGCATGTTTATATGCGTGTATGCATGAAGCACAAAGTTGAACCCAAGCAGCAACAACAACAACAGCTGCGGGCAGCGCTGCGGGCAGAGCTGCAGGCAGCGCATGGGCAGCGATTTTTTTTATGGCTATAACTTTCTTCAGAATTTACCTATCATGATGAAACTTGGCACACGGACACATAAGCACTAACTGAATGTAGCTACCAAAATTGATTTCAATGTTCCAAGAATTACGGAATTTATAAAAAAAAACAGGAATTGCGGGGGAGTGGGGGTGTATCAGAATAAAAAAAATAAACTTGACCTGCCTAGGACTTAGGGGAACCTGGATGCCAGTTTAGTTTGGTTATTCTAGCTCTTGTACTTCCTGAGATCCTTGCGCTCATACAGACAGACGGACATGGCTATATCGACTTGTCTTGTCATCCTGATCAAGAATATATATACTTGTACTTTTGTGGGGTCTGCCACGCCTCCTTCTGTGTGTTACATACATGCGCACAAAACTAGTATAGCCTTTCACCCTTTGGGTACAGGCTGTATTAAATGTATGTATTTATAGAATAAGAAGTATGTCTGTTGCTTCGTTATTTATTTTGTGACAAGTAAATTGAAAAATATCTAAGAACGACACGAAGTCAAATCAATTACAGCTCTAAAATTATTTGTGTAAATACAAAGATAATTTCTTGGCAGATGCTGTGCAGCATTTCTTATACTTTAAAATTTAATCAACTTGTTTATTTATTTAATTGTAGTCTTTTTTTATTTGCATTCTTATTGAAATGTTTATTTCCGTTATTTAAAAGACCACAAGCTATAATCTATTATTTGTATAATTCGAATTATAAATATGGTTTTAAATCATTTCGCTTGCACAAATATTTCAATTTGCTATTTTCGTGTGCCAATTTGGCTTTTAAATGCACTTCCTGCAGGCTTATGTATATATTGCGACCTTTCTATCAATTGCTCGGGAAAATCAATTTCAATACTCGTACTATCTATCCAGCAGTTCAATCAAGCGGTTTCCTAATTTCGAACGAAAAATTATATTGATTTGTGCATTTGGAACGGAATTACCTTGCCAGTGCACGATTGATGTTTAATTTGGCACAATTGAGGCGCATTACACAGTCACCTAGATATGGATACAGATATGGATACTGATACGGCAGATATCTGCCGCCGCATTCAACTACAACAAAAGTCTATTGTGGTTTGTCGAAGCGAACCAAATGCGACCGCATCCCAACTACAAAGAATAGAGAAGCCATAGAAATATATACTTATA